AGCGCAAATACACGCGCGATAGCGCAAATGTACGCGCGCGAGCCCGAATACGCAGACTATTGTTTGTTCTTTTGTAATTTAAATTAAGGATATATTTACGAGGATTCATTAGGTGAAAACACCCAAGTCCAGCAGAATTAATTTTAACGATATGATTAATGTATATGACATTTAAAAGGCGCAAATACATGCGCGATAGCGCAAATACACGCGCGATAGCGCAAATGTACGCGCGCGAGCCCGAATACGCAGACTATTGTTTGTTCTTTTGTAATTTAAAAAAAAATTAACGATATATTTATGAGGATACCTGTGGTCCAGCGTAATTAATTTTTACAATATGATTGTTTTAAACGTATCCTATATTGTACTATAATAAACAGTCACTATCGGCGGACAAACCTATACTGGACTCCACGACTCTATTGTCAGTTTACTGGCAACCCCCGGCGCTAGAGCTAAACTAGCGCAAGATGCGCTAGTATTTCCTCGTAACCCGGTAAGTGACGTGCTAGCGCCACCTGTTCCAAGAAATAGTTTACATAACCCAACTGTTTGTCAAGTTTTCCCACTTCTAATTGTAATTTTATTTTAGATTGTTTTGAAACACCCCAAAATTGTTCCAAAAAAGCGGATTTAAACTTTTAAAAATTTTCAAAAGACAATAACAGTGCATCTGCCCAAGGCTTGGCTTTTCCTTGGAAAAGGTCTTTACACCAATATGGCACAAAATTTTCCGGAATATTATAAAGTAAGACCGCTTTTTCTAGGTTATTCATAAAGTCAACGGGATGTACTTTGTTATCATCTTCAAAAATAGGTAATAGTTTTTTTGCTTTTACTAATAAGTTACTGTTATTATTATTTATAGATTGTGTTGGAATGTGACTATGTACAGGGTTACTTTGCAATGGATTTGTTGTAACTACATAATCTGGGTTTACATAAGTTGGTTGACCACTATTTCTTAAAGAACATGGATTTAAATTAGTCTGTACTTGAGGTAAATCATAACCTAACCTAAAATTGTCCAAATTTTTAGTTTTTTGATTAATAAACTCTGACTGACTGACTGACGAATTTAAATTTCTTTTAGGTGAAGCTTGATTTGTACAAGGTCGTTCATTTAAGAATAAACTATTACTATGTATATTTACTGGATAGAGTTGAGCATCGATAAGAGAGTTATCATATGCCTGTGTCAAAGTGTTCTCATTGCTATCTTGGATGTTGGCAGTTAAAAATGGAGAGTTCCTACCTTGACTTTGATGTACCCCTGTGTTTGACTGATGATTTGAGTCTGAAAAGTGGTCTCCCCTGTGGTCTCTCCTTTGATACGATGATCTCTGCCCAGTTTGTGGTGTCGATGGTGGCAATGCAGCTGCTTCATCCATAAATCCTGTATTTGTTGGTAAGTGGTAACTGATTTGGATTTTCCAACTTTAAATTTTTCAACCTTTCTGTTTGCCTTCTAGTAACTGGTTTTCGGTTCACAGTGTTTGTTTCCAGGCATCTTCCACCAAGAGTTATTCGTGACTGTTCCAACGAGTGATAGGAGCTTGATTTAGTCACGGCCCTAGTTGGGTGACCAGTTGTAGCGTAACCGACTGGCAAGAGCAGATATTTGCTTGTTAAGGTAAGCAGGATACTTATAAGGCGCCAGATTATAAGTACTTGGGACTAATCTCAGGGAGTGCTAGGTTTCGAAACAACTTAGTGGAATATCCTTTCCAAAACGCTTTATTTTAAACGAATTTTTAATGTGTGCAAACAGATATGTTTAAATAGCCAGATTTTATCTAAAAGCACAAAACTAAAATTAACATATATATAATGTACCCCTTTATGTAGTTTAATCAAAATTTGCATGCTCGAAGCGTATACGCTTCGAGCATGCAAATTTTGATTGTATACATATAAATACTAAATTTACTATTAATTTACAGTACATAAATGGTCGAACTTACCTAAAAGCACCAGGGCTCAAATTAAAACAAGAATACTTCAAATTAAAGCAAAGAATAATTTGTACTGCCCGCGAGGATACTCTGGAGACAAATAATCGAAATGGCGAAGTTTTTTATCTCCAGAGCGCAAAAAAACCAGGACGGAAACAGAAGTATTATGGGTTGCCTATCTTGGGCAAATGCACTGTTTTAAAATATATAACGTAAATAAACTTAAATGTGGATTTCCGCCACAATAGTTAATAAACATAGTCTTTTGATGGCAGACCGATATCTAAAAGCGACAGAAAATAATCATAATATGGTCGGCAATTGATCGTTGGCTGACCGTTGACACTTGTCTCCTATTTATTGTGTTTTGCATTTATATTTCTTATAGTGATGTTTTTTGTATATATATATTACTTATACCATCTATTAAATTGTATTGTATGACGTGCCTTGTAAACCTTGAAGGTAAATAAACTTATTTTATTATATTCTATTAAAGGCCATAGGTCGTAAATCAACGGTGGGCCAACGTAGTCATTATCGCTTGCTGACGTTCAGCCTTCCAAATGCCGCTGATAAATGTTTGCTGGGTTAATACTTCTCTAAACTTTTTCTGACAAGCCAAATATATGTAGGATTCAGATAAAGGTTTAGTTCCGTCACTGGACCCAGAGGGTTTTGCAAAAAACTTTTTCACATGTCTGCTCAAGAAAAACCGCTTGTAAAACCCTTTGCAGTATTTGCTAACGCAAAATCCCTTTCATTCACTTCTTCGCCGGGTTTGTATTTTTTAGGTATAATTTTTCCCCTTAATCCATCATCCAAACATCCTTGATTGCAAAGTAGTAAAAGCATATCTTTTTTTCCCTTAGATTTTGTCTTTTTATTCATTAATTCTTTTACCTCAAGCTCATCGCTGTTTTCTTTTTAAATGCCTTGAAATCACCTCTTGTGAGTCATACAGTGTTTTCTAGAAAAAATAAAACTATTAAATGTAACGTTGCTTATATAAAAATTTCTTAAAGTTGCTATAATCGAATATTTTTATTTTAAATTTTCACAAGAACCCAGATCTAGGTCCCAAATTTGAATGAAATTTACAACACCCCAGTCCTTGGGAAAAAAAGCTGAGTTTGTGAAAAAAATTAATTTTAGCAATTACGTTTTTCATTGTCATAATGGTTTTGGATTTTAAATAATAAACCTCTTAAAGTTTAGAGAAAAAGTTATGTTTGATTATTAAAGATTTAGAGAATTTTAGGTTAAAAAAATTAAAAAAATAGGCAACTTAAAAGGTACTCAAAAAGCATTTTAAAACGGAATTTAAATTCATGTTCTGGTTAAAATTTTGGCCAAAATTTGAAAATAAAAACAAAATAATAAAAATGGGAAAAAATAAATGAAATAAAAATGGTTAAGTAACAAAATAGTTTATAAGAAAGAAAATCTTTTAATTAATGTTTTGTTCAAATGTGATTTTTTATAATACATAATTTGTGTTCAGTTGTATATCACGTTCGCGACGTCGTGCGCCACCGGTGGTACATGACGGCTGATCCCAACAGCCGTCATGTACCATCGGTGGCACACGACGTCTTTTAAATATAATCCTATTTAAAAACGTAACGGCTGCATGGAAAGCTTAGAAAACAAGTTACGGCTGTACGTAAAGGTGGTACATGCGGTTCTAGATTAGACAATTTTTTCATTGATTTTCTAATGATTTTTGTCTACCTATTAAAAACTACAGAATTTTGGAGATATTTCCATTATTTTTTTATCAAGACAGCACCCAGTACATAATTTTACATGACTTAACTAAATCTAACTTATAAAAACTTCTGATAACACAAAATAAATCAAAACTAGGTTTTTTTATTTGATAAAAGTAAAAATAAAAACTTAAAAAATTGAGTATAATTCTTAAAACTATTTTGAACAATGTTTTTTGAAATCTAACTTATAAAAACTTCGTCGCATAAAACTGAAAAGAAAAACTTTTAAAAAATTAAAAAATCTTAAAACTATTTTGAACAATGTTTTTCGTTAAAACATTCTAAACACATTGTAGGTTTATTGTCACAATCATCGCAGTAGGTCATTACTCTCTTAGTTTTGGTTCTTGCTTCCTTTGTCCCTTTTTCTTTTTGTAGTTTTTCATAACAGCTAATACAGCGTTTCCTATTGTTTCTAGAGCTGCCTTCAAATTTCTTTATTTTATGTGTATGTCTTGTTCAAACTCTATTTCTTCTTCTTCGTCTGTATCATTGAATAGGGACTGTATTAGAAGCTCTCTGAATTTCAACATATCGATTTTTTTTTCGTATTTTTCTGATAAATAACCCAAGAATTTACAACAGCGGTCCCCAAAATTATTACAAATACTGCCTTTTTATACCACTTTATGGATTTCCTCAGGCAAGTGTAGTAAGAGGACATTTGGTCGGACATATCTACACCTTTTTTTGAGTTGTTATAATCTATTAAGCATTGTGGCTTTTTTATATCTTCTTCCTTCCTGTTCTTCTTTCCCGTAGCGACTAGTTCATCCATATGTTCAGGTAAAGTTCTAAGCATTATAACCGGTCTTTTATCTAACCATTTGTAAATCCGCACCCCATTAGCATTCTCCCTCGCAAACATTTCACCTTTCTTCAGCTGTTTCTTGCAAACTTCTTTCGCATTTCCTTTCCTGTTAGTTCGCAAAGTCCCACAGAGGTAAGTATTATTTTGTAAAAGGTGTTCTGCTAATTTCACGCTGGTATAAAAATTATCAGTGTATAAGACTCTACCTTCATTCAATAAACTTTCCATCAACTCTACTGTGACATCGAAAAAATGTCTATGTTCACTTATGTTTTCGTTTTTGCCACAGTAGATTTTGAAATTGTAAGTATATGCGTCGGTTCCCATAATTAGTAGGATTCCAATAAAATTGCAAATTTCTTTTTTGTTGGTGTCAGTCCATTTACGTACTTCTGATCTGCGAGGAAGATTGTGACTACTAATGTATTGGTTCGCATATCTGTTTGTTTCTCTCACTATGAGTTCAAGCACTTCGTCGTCGATAAACTTGCGATAAATTTTATAAGGGTCGCAAAATTCATTTGGATTGAGTTGAAATCCACTTTGAGCGGTGAACGGAAAATCATGCGCGACTTGTCCGCACGGCCCCCAAGTATCATTGGTTGTTGCAGGATTTGCTACGGTTGCAGGATTTACTGTGGTTCGGGCAGGTTGATCATCGTAATTACTATATTGCTCATCGCTGTCTTCAGAAGGAATATCGTCTTCACTTTCTTCATTATCTGAGGGCTGGTAAGAAGATCTAGAATCAGAAAATGGTTCGCTTTCATCACCTGATGAAAGGAAATCTAAATATTTTGTTGGGCGTATTCGCTGTTGCTGCTGTACGCTACTCTGAGGTTGATCCGTTTGATTTTGAGGTGGAGAAGCTGGTTGCATGAACAGAATAATTATCGGTTGGGTTTTTATTTGCAGAATGGGAAGGTGAAGATATAGTATTGTGTAGCAGCTTGATTGCTCCTTTTTTTTTATATGTGTATATCCCGGGCTCAGTACGAGGGTGAGTCGTTTTCGGAAATGCGAGCAATAGGGGGTTTACACCGAAATTATACTTACACTTGCTCAGGTTGGAATTTATGGGCGCCAACCATCCAAATTAAGAGTTTACCTAGTGTCTAGGGTTTGGATGGGTTTGGTTGTTTAAATTAAAGAAAAATTAAGAATTACTTCACATATATTATAAGAGGTTCCAATCATACATTATATGGTTTCAACAGCTATAAACCAAAATAAGAGATTTATTTATGCAATATTCAATAGATATAAATCGAAATAAGATATTTATGTAAGATATTTATGTAAACAAATATTCAATAGATATAAACCAAGATAAGATATTCACCTTTGCACAAAATCATTAACCGTTCAATATTTATGGCCATAAAAACTGTACGTTTACATAAAACGTGTTTTTTCATATGAAAAAAAAAATATATATATAATATCAAATCAAGTAACGTGAGTGTAGGTCCTGAAGGGGCCTAACTCAAAACAAAAATATATGTAAAATTATTGCCATTATGCAATAAATGTTAGATATCAAGTAAAATGAGTGTAGGTCCTGAAGGGGCCTAACTCAGAACAAAATATAGGTATTTAAGGATATTAAAAGGATATAAAAAGTGAAACAAGGATAGACCCTGATGGGGCCTAACTTGGCGTAAAAAATATATATAGTCAAGTAGATTACTAAAGCATTTAAGACTTCCAATGGGTACGTTACCACACGCGTCCTCCTGGCTGGTTCTGGTTAAATACAGCGCGGCCTTTGATGGAATGGCACGTGGCCCTTGATGGAATGGCACGTGGCGTGGGTTTCAAGTGAACATTTATATCCCCATTGGAAAAACTAGTGAAATTTCAAGTAATATAATATACGTAAGCTTAAACTTGCTCTACTTACCCTCCAGACTCAGAGGTTTTGAATCACTCAAGTAATCTATCTTGCTAAGTTTAATTCGGTGAAGAACTGTATAAAAGAAAATTTATTGTAACAAATGAAAGAAGAAATTTAATTTAACTTACTCTTTATAAATCAAAAAAGAAGAAACATTTCGTCGAAAATATTATTCGAGAAATTCTTCACGATATCGACTGTATGAAGCTTGAAGAGGAAAAGAATTTATTTAAAGCATAGGATAAATTACTTCGAGTGGATTGTTTTTCAAGAAGCGTAAAAACCGCACAAAAAAATCAACCTAGTTGCCACGACGTCGATCGATAATATCGAAATTGCACTCAATATTTGCAACGTTGCCGGAGTACCTTGCGTCGAAATTTACCGAATCCACAAACGCCGATATTTTATGTTGGTATTACCAACTCGGTAACACAGAGGTTATGTTTACTATTTTCTTCCAGCAAAACAAGAATTAAAAGGTTTTTCAAAAAGAATACGCATATCATATCAATCAAACAATGCCAGCCGTCAAAAGGTTCTACCCAGATGTGGTTAAATGTGAATTAAATAATTTATTTTATGAAAATTAATTTATTAAATTTTAGGTAAATAATGAAAATGAAACAATGAAAAATAAAGATTTAGTTAAAGAATTTAAGTGGAAAAGTTACTATATAGTTACTATATTAAATTGGAATGCACAAGGTAAATTGTTGCGTTACAAATCTCCTCTTTGTCGGAGAAAAAAAATTGCGAAGGTAATTTTTAATTAAAATTAAAGGAGTAATTTTTTCTTTCTAACCATAATCATAAAAATCATTGTACTTAGCCCTAGTAACTATGAATAAAAATATTAAATTTTAAACCTAACTTAAACTTAGAGTAAGTTTTTATTTTTTTTATTTTTAGGAAAAATTTTCTAAGTTCGCGAAACCTTAGAAATTATAAGGAGATAGACTATCAATATTTCTCAATTAAATTTAAATTTAAAAAACTCAAATATAATAAAATATGACATCTACCTGTTGATCGTTATAAAAACTTATGCCTAACCTAACTTATTTAAAGTATCAAAGTATTATGTATCTAGACTATCTAACTATAAAGGGATTATTTACACAAGGAATTTCAGAAAATTATCTATCATTTATTATAGATAATATTATTATAATTAAATATAATTAAAGGGGTTATTTACACAAGGAAATTCAGAAATGAAAGTTGCAACTTTTTTGTGTAATTAGAATTCTAATCCTTTTCATAGGTAACTATGTTACTAAATGACTAATATGGTAAGCTAAATTCTTAACTTAACACCAATTGATTTCAAATTATATAGAAAATCTTTGTCAATTCAGACAATAAAAATAAAAACAGAATATGTTTTCCAATTCGTAATAAGGTTCTCTAAACTTTATTATTTATAAACTAAATTTCGAAAATTAAAATAGAGGTACTATTTAAATAATAAGTATAGATATTAAGATATTCAAAGATAAGACTTTATATCAAATATTTAAAGATAGGACATAATTAGGAATTTATTTAAACTAAAATCTCAACGATCAAAGTTTATTAATTTAGGTAATTTAAAGAAATAATAAGGCAAGATCAATTATATGTCGGAATTATCATCGGAACAATCAGGAGGTTCTTTATTATAATGGGGCTTAAGGTCCTTGATATGGTATTTCCCTGAGGAATTACCATCAATATCTTTTAACTGATAAACTAATTTGGAAAACTTTTTAACAACTCTTGACAACACATATTTACTAGCAAGTTTAGCTGAAATTTTCTTTCCTTTATCAGATAGTATTCTATTTTTTCTCCAGACTAAATCATTAACAAAAAATTCTATATCTCTTCTTCTTAAATTATATTGTTTACAATTTTTATCGTAGGCCTGTTTTAATTTTAGCTGGACAGTTTTATACAGATCAGAAAAATTACCCAATTTCTTGGCATAATTCTCCTGGTCTATTTTATTAGGAAATGAATCTTCATCAAGAGCAATAGAATCATAAAAATCTCCAGAGATAGGAATTTTTCTACCAAATACCAAATAAGCAGGAGAAAATGAAGTGGACATATTTACACTATTGTTGATGGCAAAAGAAATTTTATTTAATTCCTTATCCCAATCCTTATGATTCATACCCTTAATAAAGCTTCTAATACAAGTTCCAATAACTTTATTGAACCTCTCCACACTATTAAACTGTGGCGTATAAAGGCTAGTATAAAAATTTTTTGATTTATATGACTCAATTAAATGTTTAAATTCCTTGCTAACAAATACAGTTCCGTTGTCAGAAATTATTGTGGAAGGCACTCCAAAAACTAAAAATACCTCATTTTCCAAATATTTAACTATAGATTTTGCATTCGCAATTCTTAAAGGTTTCATTAGAACATACTTTGAAAAGACATCAGATACTACTAAGAGATGAGTATTATTGGCCGAAGAGTTTGGAAAGGGTCCCATTAAATCAATACAAATTACTTCAAAAGGGAAATTAACTTTTTTCTGAGGACCCATTAACCCAGGAGTAGTATAATTAGGCATTTTTTGACTCTGACAAACTTGACAGGTTTTTACAAAGTTTTCAATTTGAATTCTCATCTTTGGCCAATAATAGTCCTCTTGAATCCTATTAAGAGTTTTAAAGAACCCGAAGTGTCCCGATGAAGGAATAGAATGACATAAATTTATAATTTTCTCTCGTTGTGGGGCTGGAACATAAAGCTTCCACTCATTAATATTTGAAATTAACGGAATTTTGAGAGGTATAAATTTATAAATAAAGTCATTTCTAATGATAAAGGAAGGATACGATTCAGGAGTTGCCTGGATCTGGTTACGCAAGTCTAGATATTTACTGTCTAAATCACCTAAATTCACGCTTAATTTTTCAGAAGTATCCTTAGTTAAGGCATTGGAGGTAGATGGCAAATGATTTCCAATACATAAGTCCTCATAATGATCTCTTTGGTCAAAAGGCAAAGGGTTACGTGAAAGACAATCAGGCACCACATTTAATTTACCTTTACGGTGTTCTACAGAGAATTTATGTTGCCGTAACTTTACACTCCATCTGCATAGCCTACCAGCAGGGTTTTGCATATTGTTAATCCAAAGAATTGCAGAATGGTCAGTTATTAGCTTAAACTCAATGGGACAAGCCTCAAGGTAGCATCTAAATTTTTCGAAAGCAAACAGCACGGCTGCAATTTCTTTTTCTGTAACGTAATAATTTCTACGTTCCCTGTCAGATAGACTACGAGAAGCATAAGCAATAACTTTTTCCTCGCCCTTTTGCACTTGAGTTAGACAAGCGGCTAAACCTTTGTCACTGGCATCCGTTTGTACGCAAAATGGAAGTGTAAAATCAGGAGTAGTTAAAATAGGTGCTGATATAAGTGATTCTTTTAACTTATTGAAAGCTTCGTCAGCTTCTTTATTCCAATGAATTGACTGCCCTTTACGTTTGCCCTTTAAAAGATCATTTATGGGGGCAATAAGAGATGAAAAGTGAGGAACAAATCTACGGTAATAGGAAGTCATGCCCATAAATCGTTTTATTTCTGTAAAATTTCGAGGGATTGGAAAATTAAGCATGGCAGTAATTTTATTAGGGTCAGTTCTTAAACCATTAGCATCGATAACAAAGCCCAGATAATGAAGTGAGGTTCTAAAAAAGTTACATTTTTCCAAATTTAAAGTCAGGTTTGCGTCTTTAAGTTTATCATAAACTTCATTTAATAAAGAGATATGTTTTTCAAAAGTTTCTGTTACCAGAACAATATCGTCAAGGTAAACAAAAAGATTGGGACTATATTTTTCCCCAAATATTGAATCCATCAAACGCTGCATTGCTTGTGCTGCGTTTGATAGGCCAAATGGTAATACTTTAAAGCAAAACAACCCTCTGCCGGGCACAGAAAATGCGGTCTTTTCTCTTGACTCTTTATCAAGTGGTATTTGGAAAAATGCTGACTTTAAATCTAATGATGACATATATTTAGCCGATGTTAACGTATTCAAAACTCTGTCTATATTAGGTAAGGGGTAAGTATCACTTTTAGTAATTTCGTTAAGCTTTCTACCATCAAAACAAAAACGATATGAACCATTAGGCTTTTTTACTAAGAGGACTGGACTATTATAAGGGCTTTTACAAGGTTCTACTATATTTAAGGCTAACATTTCATCCAACTCCTTTTGTAGGTGTTGTAACAAGTATGGTGACATTGGGTATTGTTTAGACTTAAATGGTGGGCCAAAAGTTTCTATATGGTGGACATATTTATTGGTTAGACCTAGACGATTTTCGCTACTGATGTCATTAAATTTCAAAATTAAATTATTGGCGGTTTTTTGTTGGTTGGGGGTCAGATTCTCGATGACACTACCAGTATCAGTATCCTGAGAACAAACGTTCAAAACTTTTATTTCTGGACTCTGAATGGACCAAGTGTCGTTGTTAAAATTTAGTGTTAGTGAAAACAATTTGCAAAAATCAGCTCCAAGCAAAATTTTATGAGTAAGAGAAGGTACATAAAGAGCTTTGATTAATTTGAAATTATTTTCTAATTTAACAGGTAGATAAACATATCCAGAAATAGCTTGTTTATTACCGTTTGCCACAGTTACATAAGATATATTAGTTGCAAATATTTTTAGTTTTAGCTTATTTAAGATACCAATACCAGGCTTACCAACGATAGTCTGATTTGCCCCAGAATCCAATAAACAGTTGACCCTAATGCCACCAATATCTATATGAATATATGGTCTATTATCCCTTACAACTTTTACAAAATTAGGTAAAATTTCTTTTTTTTGAAAATATGATTTTACAAAAGCTAATAGTTCCATACGTTCTCTAGCAAACATTTTTGAAGACTTTATTGAATTTTGAAATACGTTAACACTTGACTTTGTATCGATACCATGTAGAACTGAACGTGACTTTAGACTTGAGGAAGGCAAATCGTTAGATAAAGAAGAATTATTAGGTAATAATGAAGAAAATTGCAAATTGGCCTTATTATTGACTCGAAGCTTCTGTTGGCCTTGAGCAGAAACTTCTAAACTACGTTTTTTGCACAATTAGGGCATGTTTTCGAGGTAAAATCGGGTTTCCCACATCTAAAGCAAAACTTAACTCTTGGTGCTGTACAATGTGAGTATGAATGATTAAGCTGTTTGCAGTTCCAACAAGTCACGGGAGTTTTATTATCAATTTGACTTAGATTATTATTGCGAGGATATGAATTACGAGGTTTACTATGGGAAACAGATAAGACCGAGGGTTTGGGGACCTTAGGGACATAACTCTGCTCCACATACGCAAGCTCTGGTTCGATATCTTTTAAAGCAGATGAATTTTGATGGTAAGCTTCGTCTAACTTTCGGCAAAGCTCACCCAAGTGTTCTATATCGGTAACAGTAACAAGCGCCAGGTGTCTTACGTACGTCGGCAGAAGCTTTTGTCCGATAAGTTTAAGTTGTTCCTGTGGAGATGGTGGTTCAGATAATTTATTAAATAGAGATAACATAAAAGCAATAAAGATTTGTACTGATTCCGTTTTTCCCTGTTTTCTCGATCTTATTTGTTCCCAAAGTTTATCTTCATAGTGCAAGGGTTGGAAATCGCGCTTTAAAAATTCTACTAAAATATCCCAACTCTCTACTTTAGATCTAATACTGCGCCACCAATGCAATGCTTTACCGCTAAACAAATCAACTGAAGCTCTATACAAGTCGGATTTAGAAACACCTCGAGCTTCTGCAAGCTCTTCAACTCTTTGAATAAAAACGCCGACTGACATATTGTCGCCATCAAAGGTAATATTCCACTTGTATACAGCCACAGGTTTAGGACTAGGTAATTGCGAAACAGAGTTATTTAACACGGTAGTATTTAACGTAGTATCATCCAGATTAATAGGAGGTTCAGACGTTCGTGATTTATCGAAAAGATCTGCTTCGATCATAATAGAAGTGGCAAAAGATTCATTTTGAAAAGTTTTTTCAGCGGGATTATTGTCCGATATAATCATCCTCTGAATACGGTTCTTTAAATGAACAAGGCGTGATTCAATTCTCTTGAACATGTTATCAGATTTAGGACCTTCAAAGTCTGCAACTAAATTTTCAAGAGTTTTAAGTGACTCTTCAATCACTTTTTGTTCATTTTTAAACTCGTACTCAGGGTCTGTCAAAATTTTATCAGCAGGGGTTGTGTCTAATAATCTGGATAACATCTTACGTTTCTCGACTACGGTCTTTGAACTTTGCACACCTCTAATTCGCAACTCATAATCTATTTCGTCCGCAAGAAGATATTTTAAACGTAGCTTAGACATGATTATTAAGTTATAAGGTCAATAATAAGTTAAATTCTATTTGGTCTGGTAAAGTTATTAAAATTATTAAGATAAAATGTTAAATATAACTGATGAATACAAAAAAATGCAGATCCAACCCTAATTTAATATAATATATGCGAATCTTGTCGACTGATCAAATGTAAGTTTACTTTTTCGGGCCCCACGTTGGGCGCCAATTTTGTAGCAGCTTGATTGCTCCTTTTTTTTTATATGTGTATATCCCGGGCTCAGTACGAGGGTGAGTCGTTTTCGGAAATGCGAGCAATAGGGGGTTTACACCGAAATTATACTTACACTTGCTCAGGTTGGAATTTATGGGCGCCAACCATCCAAATTAAGAGTTTACCTAGTGTCTAGGGTTTGGATGGGTTTGGTTGTTTAAATTAAAGAAAAATTAAGAATTACTTCACATATATTATAAGAGGTTCCAATCATACATTATATGGTTTCAACAGCTATAAACCAAAATAAGAGATTTATTTATGCAATATTCAATAGATATAAATCGAAATAAGATATTTATGTAAGATATTTATGTAAACAAATATTCAATAGATATAAACCAAGATAAGATATTCACCTTTGCACAAAATCATTAACCGTTCAATATTTATGGCCATAAAAACTGTACGTTTACATAAAACGTGTTTTTTCATATGAAAAAAAAAATATATATATAATATCAAATCAAGTAACGTGAGTGTAGGTCCTGAAGGGGCCTAACTCAAAACAAAAATATATGTAAAATTATTGCCATTATGCAATAAATGTTAGATATCAAGTAAAATGAGTGTAGGTCCTGAAGGGGCCTAACTCAGAACAAAATATAGGTATTTAAGGATATTAAAAGGATATAAAAAGTGAAACAAGGATAGACCCTGATGGGGCCTAACTTGGCGTAAAAAATATATATAGTCAAGTAGATTACTAAAGCATTTAAGACTTCCAATGGGTACGTTACCACACGCGTCCTCCTGGCTGGTTCTGGTTAAATACAGCGCGGCCTTTGATGGAATGGCACGTGGCCCTTGATGGAATGGCACGTGGCGTGGGTTTCAAGTGAACATTTATATCCCCATTGGAAAAACTAGTGAAATTTCAAGTAATATAATATACGTAAGCTTAAACTTGCTCTACTTACCCTCCAGACTCAGAGGTTTTGAATCACTCAAGTAATCTATCTTGCTAAGTTTAATTCGGTGAAGAACTGTATAAAAGAAAATTTATTGTAACAAATGAAAGAAGAAATTTAATTTAACTTACTCTTTATAAATCAAAAAAGAAGAAACATTTCGTCGAAAATATTATTCGAGAAATTCTTCACGATATCGACTGTATGAAGCTTGAAGAGGAAAAGAATTTATTTAAAGCATAGGATAAATTACTTCGAGTGGATTGTTTTTCAAGAAGCGTAAAAACCGCACAAAAAAATCAACCTAGTTGCCACGACGTCGATCGATAATATCGAAATTGCACTCAATATTTGCAACGTTGCCGGAGTACCTTGCGTCGAAATTTACCGAATCCACAAACGCCGATATTTTATGTTGGTATTACCAACTCGGTAACACAGAGGTTATGTTTACTATTTTCTTCCAGCAAAACAAGAATTAAAAGGTTTTTCAAAAAGAATACGCATATCATATCAATCAAACAATGCCAGCCGTCAAAAGGTTCTACCCAGATGTGGTTAAATGTGAATTAAATAATTTATTTTATGAAAATTAATTTATTAAATTTTAGGTAAATAATGAAAATGAAACAATGAAAAATAAAGATTTAGTTAAAGAATTTAAGTGGAAAAGTTACTATATAGTTACTATATTAAATTGGAATGCACAAGGTAAATTGTTGCGTTACAATTGTCTGGATTATCAGGTAAGCTTGAGGATGCAACATAACTGCTAGAACATGATGGCCTTGATGGATCATATGGATCTTCTAGCCTTGCTGCTGGATTATCAGGTAAGCTTGAAGATGCAACATTACTGTTAGAACATGATGGCCCTGATGGATCATATGGATCTCCTAGCCTTGCTGCTGGATTATCAGGTAAGCTTGAAGATGCAACATTACTGCAAGAACTCGATGGCCCTGGCCTTGCTGTAGCTTGCAAAATCCTTGCAGTTCTGTTTTTCATCGCTCTTAGTCAATTATCTGGAACAAAAGAGAGATAGCTAGTATAAAACTTACCTTTTACATGGTGGCCACCGGTGGTACACGACGTCCCTGAGAAACAAATATTAGTCACAGCCGTCATGTACCACCGCGACGGGTGCTGAGCTGAAGCTGCCCTTTCAACAATTTCACTATTCATCTCGGATCGTTATTTAATTTGCTAGCTAGCGTTCGCTGGAAACCACCACGGGTCTGCCCTGTAGCAATTATTATGCGATTTTTATCGTTTAATATGGGTTAACCACCAATAGAGAAATAAACCTTTTTTGTGGAAAGAGTTTTCAATCCTTCTTTATGAGTCTACTAGGTATAGACTGTGCTTAACTGTATTTAAAAGGATTTAACATAATAATTATTATTATAGATTTATTATAATATAGAGTTTACTATGTACAGTATCCTTATAAGGATAAATATTATTATTAACATTAAAGGCATTTTTTGATTTCTTATGTTTTTTAGTATAATTTAATCAATAAAAGAGTTATTTTAAAAGTTTAAATTAACTATAAATAAACTAACTTATTGGTTATATTACTTATAATTTAAAAATAAGGATATTTTAAAAGTTACATAACGTTATATTAACCTTTGAAAATGATTAAGATTATTTATATTTTTAGACATTTAAACCTTTAAGTAAATTAGGTTTATTTCAAGAGTTTAAATTGACTATAAATAAAACAAATATTTAACTATTTAGTAACATACTTATACGTTAAAAATTAGGTTATTTTAGAAGTTACATAACGTTATATTAACTTATAATTTTAACCTTTGAAAATGGTTAAGACTAGTTATTTTTTAGACATATTTTGGTTTAGTTTAACTTTTGATATAACTTTTTGGTAAATTAACCACAGCTTTGGTTAATTTGTAAATATTTTTTTAACCAACAAGTTATATTTTAGCAAATATATTTTAAGTCTCTGGTAAATTAACGTTTAAAATATATAAACCTATAGGTTGTGAGTTTTGTGTGATAATGGAGCCTAAAAAAAAAATTTTAAAAATTATATATTCTTCAACTTACTATAAAAAAGTTAACAAAGTTGTAAATAAAATTTTTTATCTACAAATCTTAAAACAGCCCCCTCATATTTAATTAAATAAAGTAGTTAAATTAAACACAATAAAACAACCAAATTGTTTAAATAAACATGCATGTTAATTTGTATTAGTTATATAACCAATAAGTTTGCTGTCCAAGAGGAAATGCCATTAATTTTAATTAATAAACAATATTATTTTATGTTTAAAAGTATTTTAAATCAGTTCCAAACAAAATATAGAATATATAGAAAAAATACGGAAAAAAAATATTTTTTAAATTTGTATTTCATTTATTTCTTATTTTTTTCGCATTTAAAATATGAAAATATTATGGACTACTTAATCAGAAAAAAATGTCCCATTGGTTTTTTCCTTGGAACTTGAACCATTTTGAATCGTTCCAACTTAAAAATTTTGAATAAAATTTAGTATAGGGTCGTTTTGAGGGATGGTGAATCCAGTGCCGTGCATAGATTTTTTATTAAATCGCTAATGGGCGATTCTATGATTACTAACGGGACCAACAAAAAGAAAACAAAATGTTTTATGAAAATTTTTGAAGATGTGTTGTTCCTATAATAATAATTTTATGATAGTTCTCAGCAATAAAATTAAGTAATAATAACTATCATAAAATTATTATTATAGGAACAACATATCATATATTCTATTGTCTTCTTTCTTTTTTTCCCGTTAGTTACCATGGAATCGCCCTAATATGAATTCCTAAAAATTTACTCTCAAAACTGACATAGTAGGCCTTGCATGGAATTTATTTTGCATCTCAGCTACAATCTAGACTTCAAGGCTTGGAGAACACACGCGTTGATGTAGTGAAACACGGCTCAGGAACGACAAATGATGGGAATACCTCTAGAAGATTCTTTTCAAATCCTTCGCTAGTGGCTGAGATTACTCAAATTGATGAATATGTAATAAGTAAACTGGGAGTTATTCTAGAGGTAATTTGCAGCTTCTCACCAATAGATACCATCAAGTTCAAGAAGTATTGCTCTGAGACTGCTAGTCTAATCGTTACACTATACCCGTGGTATTACCTTCCATCAGTCCACAAAATTCTTTTCCATGGAGCAGATATTATTAAATGCGCAGCTCTTTCCATAGGTTTACAATCTTCAGGACGCATCACGCTAGAAAATATTCTCGCTTAGCTTCAAATGAAGACGTTTTTCACGGCATTTTGGTTAGTTCGGACCCATTTATTACAAACCTAAGACCTCAATTTAAGAAAAAAATACTTCCATTTAGTGATGAAGCTTTAGAATTACTGTTATAACTTCCATGTTATATTATGTGACTCTAGATACAATAAATAAGTTAAAAACCCATTTAGTTTATTTTTAATTTATTTTTAGTCGTAATAAAAAATGCGTGATTTAAAATACCATAAGTTTAATTCACTCGAATTGATATTTTTCTAAATAATTTTTGCACCGTCAAAATGGTGACTCAATGTATTATTTACTAGAAATCACTCAAAATTCTTTAAAAATATTAATTATTTACAATAAACTCCTTGTTATACATGGTGTTTCACATTCGTGGACCATTAGAAGTTTCTGGGGAACGGAAAAAGATATCGATTTGAAATTTTAAAAGCGTTTATAATCCATTAAAAACTATTTTTCTAAAATATTTTGAACAAAATTCCACTTCCGGTTTAACCGGAAGTGACATCAACTTTGTTATTTCAAATAGAACACCCCATATATTTTTTCATTTTTAAGTTCTACATAAAATTCTGAGTAAAATTACTATACCATGTCCTATACCTAAAGTGAATAGTTTTCAAGTTATTAATTTTTTTCGTTAAAATTTGACAAATGCTCGGCAATCAAAAATAGCCTATAACTTTTTTGTTATTAGGTTTGCGAATATGGGGGTGGAATTTTTGGAATCCTAAAACATTGTTTAAAAGATTACATGTTAATTCTTTAACATTTTTTAACAAATTACCTAAGAAAACCCAGGGCAAATTAGGCTAACTTAAAAGGTTAATAACTTTTTTATTTTAAATGTAACACCCGGTATGTTTTTACATAATCACATAGTAAATTAAAAAATCTTTCGATTGATGTTACTATTCCCTATACCTAAAGTTAATAATTTTAGAGATATTTAGCAATTTCTAAAATTTTAAATTTTATTTTGTATCAAGAAACCTGTGACGGATGAGTTGACGGTATCTATGGTTACCACGTAATCTCTCATTGTTTAAAATTTAATGGCGTCAATTTATAGTTTTTTAAATAATTTGTTAACTAATTAAGTGTTTTGAAAGCGAAATTACTGATAAAAAAAATAGCAGTCACTGACTCATAAAAAACATTGACAAGCCAAACATTTTTAAAATTTAAAAGTAATAACCCAAAAAATCAACAAAACTGTAGGATGTCTTCTACATGAAGCACTAGCTTATTGAAGACATTAAAAAATTAAATGCCAACCCGATTTAATAATTATAAAATATTTTAATAATAAAAAAATTTAATGAACCAACAATTAACAATTTTTATTACCAATAACCTATCTAATTTTTAATAAATGTTCAAAGTGTCCTTCATTTATATTCAAGCATTTTCTAATTCTCACTTCTACATTTGACGTTGCTTTTCCTAACTCTTCTGGGTCTAATTCTTGAAAAGCAGCCTGGACACGGTTTCGTAGTTCGTCTTTTGAACGCAGTGGAGTTGTGTTAGTGTACACTTTATTTTTTATAGTCCCCCATAAATAAAAATCCAAAGGCGACAGATCTGGAGATCTTGCAGGCCATGACCACGGACCCAAACGACGAAACCATCTATCTTCAAACATTTGGTATAGCTCTCTACTTACAGCTTCAGTACAGTGAGCTGGTGCTTCGTCTAGCTGATACCAGCATTCTACAGCTTCATTTAACGGTAAATTGTCTACGAAATCATCAACTACTGTTCGTAATATTTCTAAATATTTTTGACTAGTCAATGCCCCATCATAAATGTAATAAGCCAGGGTGTTGTCTTTTATTAATGCAAATACGTTAAAACTAAATTTTACTTGAAAATTCTGTTCTTTGGTTAAGTGTGGATTTTCATCACCCCAGAAGTGATTAGCTCTAGTATTGAAAATGCCTTCTCTGGAAAATTTGGCTTCATCAGTCCAAATTACTTTTTTCTTAAAATTTTCATCTTCTTGAATTTTTACCAAGAACATTTCACAGAATTCTACTCTCGCAGCGCCATCTTGAGGGTGCAGATGCTGCACTTTTGTAAATTTGTAATCATGCCATTTGGGTTTTCTTAGGTAATTTGTTAAAAAATGTTAAAGAATTAACATGTAATCTTTTAAACAATGTTTTAGGATTCCAAAAATTCCACCCCCATATTCGCAAACCTAATAACAAAAAAGTTATAGGCTATTTTTGATTGCCGAGCATTTGTCAAATTTTAACGAAAAAAATGAATAACTCGAAAACTATTCACTTTAGGTATAGGACATGGTATAGTAATTTTACTCAGAATTTTATGTAGAACATAAAAATGAAAAAATATATGGGGTGTTCTATTTGAAATAATAAAGTTGATGTCACTTCCGGTTAAACCGGAAGTGGAATTTTGTTTAAAATATTTTAGAAAAATAGTTTTAAATGGATTATAAACGCTTTTAAAATTTCAAATCGATATCTTTTTCCGTTCCCCAGAAACTTCTAATGGTCCACGAATGTGAAACACCCTGTATAGTAAAAACTGTTTAAAATTATAAAATATTATATACTTAAGAAAATATTAATAATATCAAATTGACAACTTTTCCATTGGATTTAGCACCCCCATTTACATATAGTTTCATAAAAAAAATTGTCAGTTTAAACCATTAAGAGGTTTTTGGACAAAAACAGCTATTTCCGACCACTGTGCACCGGTGGTACATTTTTAAAAACAACAAAAAACTACAAAAAAACCCAAAACATAATTACATAAAACTTTATTGATCACAAATACAACTATACTCGCATGTTTAACAAAAAAAAATACGGCTGTGCATTAACACTCCCAAAATCGGCTACGTAGCGAACGTGATATTATATACTTGATATTATCTAGTAGATAATTTTCTTGGAAACTTAAAGCAAACAAACCTGGTGAAACAATATATCCCTTTAATTGAAACTAAATTCTGAAATACAATAAAGAAATATAATAACTAAATCTTATGCCTAAGCTTATGAGGACTATTTTCCTGTTATACTTAAGCCTTTGTAGAATTATTTGATACATTCTGGTATTTTTACAAAGAGCGACTTTACAGACTTTGCAAACCAAGTTACTACGTTTTTGTTTCTGCTTGGTGCTACAGAATGTATGGATCGGCTTGTCTTCCTCGTGACAGAGTACTAGAAAATGTTCCTATAAGCTGGTATAATAGACAGCTCCTGAATTGCAAATGTGTCATGCACTTTATGATTTTTACTAATATATTTAGTTTTATATAAAATATACGAATTAAGTACTGCTGCATCAATGAAGTAAAAAAAAGCTTCATCCACCACCTGCGCGACTTCCATGCAATGTTATAGGTTGAATGCAGTTGATTGAAATGATCGTCCTTGGACAAATCACATCTTCCTTCTCTCCTTTCTTATTTCGCCGCTGAACAGAGGTCGTGTCAGAAGGATCATGCATGTTGCTGGCCACTACAACGGGTTTGGTGCTTCTGTCTTTTTATTTATTGTGGCGAAACTTCACTATCAAATCAATTAAAATTTAAATTTCGGTCACATGCGCGACAGCTTTTCTTAGTCGGGAGCGAGGTGGGTAAGTAATTAGGTGGTAAGTATTTTTGTAAATGGGCGCCAGCCAAAAGAAATTCTTTTGACAGAAAATAGGACTGAGGAAAAAAGGATATTTTAGTTTCTTTTTATAACGAAAACAAATTAATTTCAAGTTCAAGGTCAAATTTAATAGACATTAAATAACTTGAAATCATCAAACTAAGTAAATAATTTTATAATGTGATTGTCAACATTTGAAACACATAGATAAATAGAAAATCAAAAATAAATACCTTGGACAATTGTACTCGGCTTACACAAAAAAATATAGAATATTCTTACTCTAAGTTGACTTTATCAAATTATCAATATTCCTGCGTGATGTTGAGTGGGTTCCAGCCACTCGAACAAGATGTAACAACCCTTGACTATATGAAATTATTAATATTCCTTCGTAATGTCGAGTGGGTTCCAGCCACTCGAACAAGATGTAACAACCCACAATCCAGATTACACAACAGGTCCAGGTAGGTTACACTGCTTGACAAAACTCTGGTGTGGCGTCGCGACGGTGGACAACAGGTACAGGTTCGTATTTATTTCTTTAAAATAATTTTATTTAGCTTTTTTCCAGGTAATCACAATCTATGGCGATGGATTAATGCCAAACGTATAACTGTTCTTCAATAATAGTCAAAAAGCACGAGATATAGGTGCAATACAAAAACGCACACTTTAAGTAGAAAGCCTAAAAGAGATTGATTGCTCAGATTACATAAAATACAAGAAATAACAAAAAATATAGGTTACCTTTGATCTGGTGTGGCCTTAAAGTGGTTTTGGAATTGATTTTATTGATTTTAAACGTATGATGCCCAAATAATTAAAACTTTTACGATAAATTTTGGTTCTCCCTTTATTATCGTGCCTGGAGCTTCAATTAAAATGGCTCCTTTCATTTCCGGAATACCTCTCCAAAGCGCCACCCGTCAAGAATTAATTTAACACAATTTAACGACTTCTTGTATTTTAGCATCAAAAACAACATCTCATGAATTAAATCATTCAATTACTTTTGGAAAATCATTTAAATTTGAACAAACAGTAAAATAATGACAACACTCTTTTAGGTTACAAAAATGTACCGCCTGTACCCATTGTTTTACACAACGCAAGTGAAGGATATGATTATGTTAACTGGGTTGCCTAATTTTTGGCAAATAATTATACAAAATAAATGACTTACTATAAATTACTTTTATTAAAACCTCAATTTAAAAAACCGTTACATTATATACACTAATATTATCACCCAAACTAGCAAAATCAAATTGGCCTAATGACAAGTCTTTATTTTCACATAATTTGTCATGTGGAAAATTTCTTCGGTTGGTACGAAACGTTCCACAGGCAAATGAGGTGTTTTCTGATAATAATTTCGTCAATAATGGAAATGATGAAAAAAATACAGACAGTATCCATGTCCTGATGAAATTTGGAAAGATCCATGAAAACTTTCTCTCCTAAAGCAAGACTTTTAGGATTGTCGAACTTCCCCTGGTAAACATCGAAATCTATCACATAACCTGTTTTGGCACAGGCCATTAGCCAAACTTTTATTCCCCTTTTTATGGGTTTTAGCGGCATGTATTGCTTTGAACGCCACCATACTCTCGTCAATCAAAATAAATCTTGATGGTGCGAAGTTTTTTTTTTAATTTTGCCGACATACGGTTTGTTAAAGGCTGCACTATACAATTTATTGTATCCATATTTTCCCTTTGTAGGCATCTGTTCGTTGTCAGCCAAGTGTAGAAATCTTAGCACGCCCATTATGAAAATTATGATTGTTTGACCAGTGTAATCTAAGGCTTGGTAAATTGTTAATTCCAAACAGTAACAATAACCCAAAGAAAGCTTTTAGCTCGTCAATATGCAGATAATGTCACACCTTTCTGCGAAACGTATAAATTGCTCTATAATAGTTTCCATTATACTGTTGAATATGACTCGAAAATTGATAGCGGATTATTAGGTGAAATATCACATTGCATTCCAAAAGGTTAATCAAATACGAAATTCTTGAAAAGACGTGCATTTTTTTCCCACCTCATTGAATCAGGGCCATCACGCGGAGCTGTTTTTTGGTCGTTTTTACTTTAGCTTGTATATTCTCCTCTTCGCTATCCTTGGAGGATTCACTCGACGCAACAAAAGCAGTATGATATAATCTCTTTTTTGCATTTTTACTACCAACTGTGTAGTCTGGATCTTGCAACCTGTCAACTGACGAATAAGGATCTGAGTCGTCCCCATCATGTTCTTGTTAATCAGTAATTGAAGACTTACTTTCTTATTTAGCCGGGACTACTGATGGTTCAGAGGAGCACGAGCGGCTGCTTTAAAGGCTATAGGTTAAGAAACCGCTCCTTGATCCATTAGAAGGGGTTGAGTGGGACGGAAAATTATCCTTGGCATCAGAGTCTCTATCTACATCTGAGTCTATAGCTTGTTCATCCGTTATTCCTTGATTATATGTTAATTGTCTGAGCAGATCATATGCCTCTTCACATGTCATCTTAGTTACATCGAAGTTTTTAGCTATTTCTAGCAACAAAACCAAATATTAGAAATGCCCAGTTTATGCATGTACTCTAAAATGGTTGAAATCATCTTTGCTGATAAAATATGAGCTTGATTTTGACCAATTTATACTTGACCAGTGTTTTAGGAAAAAATATTGCGTTGTTACAAAGTATTATAGTCAATTTATTTAATAAAAACATGATGTGTAAGTTTCAATAAAAATTCTCAAAATTTTACAGGAAATAATTAGCAAAATTTCTGATAATTTGAATAAATATTGCTCAACAACTAATTGAATAACAAACACAGCTTTTCCAATGATAATAATACATAATACTAAGTGATTTGTTAAAATCCTCAGCACAGGAACACTTTAAAATAACAGAAACACGACAATATACAAAAAACATAATTTTTAACAGAACTTGGTAAATATATTTACCACTTAATTTCCAATTGTTAATGATGGCAACCTAGTAAAAATTAAATGGTAAGTATGTTTACCAGTGTGCCTTATTTATCCTAAAAAAACCTCCTTTAGTGCATAAGGGTCACTTTTTCTGCAAAATTTCCTATATTTTTTACCGGGATTTGTTTGCTGTACCCCATTCCCGAAAAATGTCCTATTTATTATTTTGAAAAAACTCCGTTGTCTAAGAACAGTTTTTTAAAAGCCCTAAAAAAGACGCTCTCGGAAAATATCCCGATATCTTGGCGGGCCAGGACGCCTCTAATTTGTTTCCAATGCAAATTTTACTTACGTTTTAATAGACACTTTTCCAAAAGCTCTTTGGTTCTTAAAGTCACAGAACGATTTATTTTTTCCATAATATTTTAGAATTATATACTTATATTATATACGAGAAGAAGAAACTTATTTTAATTGTATTTACTTTTCACAAAATATTTTATCAAAAACGGTTATAAATTTATAAAGGGTGTTTCAATAGAAAGTTTCCACTTCCGTTCCTCAGGTGTTACACAAAAAAAATTAAAAAAACGTTTGCACACGTCAACTTTTAATTTTAGGCAGGCATTTAAAAACATATATATATATATATATATATATATATATATATATATATATATATATCTAACACCTACCAAGGTAATTAACAAAACAAAAAATAACTCCTAAATAATTAGGCACTAAAGTCACAAATCCACAGTTTAGCTTTAGCTTCTTTGGGATTCAAAGTGGTACATTGTGCATGCGCCCAACGTTGACATCTTGAGCATTATCCTTACCCACGTCACTGCAGATTATGCAAAGCCTATCATCTTCTTTTGTTACTTTTTTTATTACTTATCTTAGCCTCTTCTCGCAGTTTTCTTTCTTTCTTTTTCGGGTTTCTCTTCGTTCTTTGCTTGGAATTACCAATGAAGGTAATTTTTTTCTTGGACGTCGGCTTTTTTAACTTCCCCGAGGTAAGGGTGGAAGACCAATCTTGATCCGTATTTTGTTTAATTTCAGTTGTTTTTGCTGTCTCATACAGGGTTATTGCTTTGCCATTTGGTAAGAAAATTTTCGCAGGCTCTACTGTAAGCGGTCTTTAGCGGACCGTATAACGACACATCTAAGGGCTGTAGGCGGTGGCTAGTGCCGGAAATCCAACTAACGTAATAAAGTTTTCTCGACATACATTTACAGCATTCAAAGTAATATCACTCGCGTGATTATCCATAAGCAACTAGGCCTTGTGTAGCGAATGAAGTGTTCTAAATATTTAATGAAGTTATTAGAAGTCATCCAGCCGGATTCATGGGCCACGCCGACGAAATCACTGGGAGCGTTGTTCATATAAGCTGGTTTCATTCTGATCCTTGGAAAAATTAGAAAAGGATGCACAAAGTTTTCGCTTGCATTCTGCAGACAGCCGTCATGTTGGTCCCTCATTCGCCAGTTGAAATCTTGATTACCCTACGCTTTCCTTTCGGAGAACCTTAGGATTTTTGGTCACTACAGTCGAAACACCCGTTTCGTCGACATTATAGATTTGGTTTGGCTAAAACGAGTGTTTTTCTCTTGTTTCATAAAGGACATTAAAAAAATGGGAGACAATTTCTTTATTAAAAGCCAAAAGTCTAGCAATTACACTCGAGAGTTCTAAGATACACTTTAAATTTCTTCATGAACCATTTAATACAATTCCGTCCAACTTTTTTCTTTTCTTCATTTAATCTATCATTTGGTATGATTATAATCATACCAAATTGTTCTTTGGTTAAAATGGCATGTAAATCAATAATGTTTGACCACTGCACATTTAGAAGACCCTTTTCCAAAAACCCAAGACCACTGAACAAATGTCAAGTACTTACCAGTCAAACTGTATTCCTTATTTCAATAACCTCAAACATTTTTAAGAGAACGTACTAATATCACTAATCGGCGTCAAATCTCAAACTGCCCCGCTCTTCCGCCGTAATAGCGAAGCTAACATACTGCACAAGTCAGGGATGTAGTGTCGCGATTTTAAGGTTTTAAAACGTTCGGTGTAGTAGGAATCTGCAATTCGTCATCTTAGGGCCCATTCCCCTACCTATAAACTTCTTTCTAATTTTAAATCATTGCCCATAAATAACCCAAATAAAACAAGTAAAATTAAAATTTACTTACCTAACGAAGATAAAATTTCATGGGTTCCGAACGCGCAAGGTAAACTTGGAGTGTATCCATAGTGCACTCTTGCGACTTTTCGAACGCGCTCCAGTTGTGGGCAGTAGTACTTTCGTCTTCTCCTTTTTTTATATTCTTAATAAAATAACTTCGCCATGCCTTTAAGCATATAGCGCTCGACTTAGTTCTTTTAGATTTTGGTAGTGGTTTGGGATCAGTGTTGCCAATATGAGATGAAGTAGTTCTACCAAAAGCCTAAATAATATCCACCAGAAATTAGATAGTGTCAAAAAATAGGGAAAATCGGGGGGGATATAAATTTTGATAAACTATAATAGCACAATTTATTTAAAAAAGAAACAACACAAAATAAAATAAATATAACTTCCACAAATAATAATAAATATTACTATATATTTAAAAATAATCAGATTAAGTCAAAAGCACCTGTCATCTTCATTAACTACATAGGTATCAGTAGTTTTGATTTTGTCCACTATAGATTCTGGCAATTTATATGTATCACAACAGGTTCTAGTTCTCTTCAATGCAATTTTTATTTGTAAAATAGCTGTTAACATAGGCAACTGCATTTTGTTTCTTAGTTTGTTTTTATTAAGTTCATATTGATGAAAACTCGCTCAACATCAGCATGGGGGTATTATAAGAATTTTTAGAACAAAATCGGATAGCTCTTTAAAAGAATTTTCCCCACAAGCATCACGGTAATTATGAACTTCTGTCCAAAACTTGATCGTGTCCTTTAACTCGTTCCAGCGCAATAGATGAATGCTGCTCCACTGTGACTCAATTTTAAAAATTTTATTGCCTGTTTTTCCAAATTGCACAAGAATATCACTGATATTTGGCTTGTTTGCTGCCAACGATTTGGTTACGCCAAAAGTTGAAATTTTTTGTAACAAATTAATGTTTTTAGGTAAACGGTTTTTTATTTGATTAATTAGAGTAATAATAAATTGAATGCAATGACTTCTTAGTTGTTCTTCTGCTGCAGCAGAAAATCCTTTTGACAATTAAATTTTAAAAAATCGTTATATTGAAAAACAATTAATTTATACTAAATCTACTAGAAAATCCATGGTGGATTTTTTTATTTTTTCCCACCAGACGGCTATGTTTATCCACCAGATCTAGTAGAAAATCTACTGAGTTGGCAACACTGTTTGGGATATTTCAAATGCTCCTTTAATTAGTCGCTATTTTTACTTTCTTTAGCATTAACGCACTTTTTTAATCTCAAATACAGTTAAGGATTCTACAGTTAGGCTTATATCAGAGTTACAATCATTTATTGATTCCAAAATATTGTCTAAATTGTAGTTTTCTTTATCTTTTTCTTTTCTGTGTACGGTATTAATTTCGACATTAACGCAATTTTTTGTAATCTCAAATACAGGCAAGGTTTCTTCGGTTAAGCTTATATTAATGTTACAATCATCATTTATTGATTCTTTAAATTGCAGTTTTCTTTATCTTCGTCTTTTCTGTAAAGGGTATCCAATTCCACATTTTCCCGATGAATTTGTACTTCACATCTTAGTTTTTGCTCTTCATATCTTGGTTTACATCTATATCAAATTCGTTATCTGTGTCTCTTTTAATGAGCAACTGTGATTCGGTTTCATTACGCGCTATTTCTATTTTAGCAAAAAAATCTTTACCTAAGTTGTTTTATAATAATAATAATAATAATATTAACGTTTATTGTCCAACAGATATAAAATCCATTTACAGAACAATTACATACAAGAAATTAAAATAAGTCCTAATATTATTGAAAATATATATATACAAAAAGAGGTATAACAAGATTAGACTAAAAAATTTTTACATAAGCTATCAATTATAAAACCAATACTATTAAAGTTAATGTCACATTTATTGCAGTATATATTAAAATTTTTGCACATAAAATAAATTGGTGACTTAAGAATAATATTCGACCTAGCGTTGGGGCAGTAAAATGTAAGGTTGGTACGAGTATTTCATGGTATTAAATAATTTATTTGGTTTAATAGTAGGGGAGCGTCAATTTTGTTATGTACCAAATTGTACAAAAATTTTACACTTAACGTGACTCGCCTTAACTGCAGGGAACTAAACCCGAATTCATTCAAAAGAGTTAAGTGATCATAACCCTGATCTGGATATGCACCGTTTTGTTTAAAAGAGAGGAATTTTAAAAACCGTCGTTGAATTTTCTCCAAGTTACTTATATTACTAGAGTATATTGGATTCCAAATTAGAAAACCATACTCAAGCTTAGAGCGTACAAATGAATAATAAAGAGTTTTAAACGCCATTTGACATTTAAAGTTTTTGGTATTTCTAATTATAAAACCAAGGGTTTTGTTGGCAGATGTTATTATGCTATTAATATGGTTAAGAAAATTTAATTCGCTATCAAATAATACTCCCAGGTCTTTAATGGCGGTGACACGGAAAAGTAAACTTAGGTTTAGGGTGTAATCAAAGAATGTTTTTTTCTTTTTTTTAGTATATGTGACTACTTTACACTTGTTTGCATTAAGACCCAACTGGTTTTTCCTGCACCAGTCTTCAATCTTACACAAATCATTTTGAAGGGCCTTACAGTCATTAACACTGCGTATTTCTTTAAATATTTTCAAATCATCGGCAAACAAAAGTCTTTCACAAACAATATCGTCGCCTATGTCATTTATGAAAATTGTAAAAAGAAGAGGACCTAGATTAGAGCCTTGTGGTACACCAGAAGTTGATAAAAACTTTAAACTCTTAAAACCACTATAGGAAACATACTGGTATCTATTACTTAAATAGGATGTAAAAAAGTTCTGAAGTGCTTCCGAAAAACCAAATAACTCAAGCTTAGAAATAATAATAGGATGACATATCCGATCAAAAGCCTTTGAAAAATCTGTATATATGGCATCTACCTGCCCACGATTATCCAGTACTTCAGAGGTAAATTGGGTAAAATAAGTCAAATTCGATACCGTTGAACGGTTTTCCATAAAACCATGTTGGTGAAGAGAAATAGAGTTTTTGACTGATGGGTAGATACGCATATATAAAGACATTTCAAAAACCTTTGAAAAATTTGATAAAATAGCTATAGGTCGGTAATTATTAATTAAACTATTATCGCCGTTCTTAAATATTGGACACAATCGGGCTACCTTCCACATATCTGGAAAGGTTGATGTATTTAAGGATAGATTAAACAAATATAACAGTGGCTTGCAAAATATTTGTAAGCAGTCTTTGATTAAATAAGAAGGAATCTGATCATCACCCGATGTTTCTTTGTTTTTAAGTTTTTTTATTGCCTGAGTTATATCATTTTCGTTTAGTTCATTTATTAAAATATTAGAAGAAGTATAAGCATTTTTATTATTAAATTATTGTTTGTTCCGGGGTAATTTGTGAAATTTTAAGCTTGGACGCATTTTTTTTTTATTATTTACAAATTTGGGACTGCATCAACCTCCAAGGGTTATTAGCAGTATACATATACAAACATAGATATATTAGATTTTGTTAAATATATTTATCGATCTTAGGAAGTCCAGGGTTTTTTCAATTTGCTTGCCCAAAGCCGTCTCCAAACTATCCGGGATGTAGTGCAGTGATCTTTTTCTAATATATTTCGGACATTCTAGAATTATATGGGATACGCTTAGGGCAGTGTTACATTCTTCGCAAAGGCTGATGGGTTCGTTTTTGAAGATGAAGCTATGCGTGATGGCAGTATGACCGATTCTAAGGCAATTTTTGATTAGGGTGATGTGGTCTTTGTGTGGAATTTTTTTAATTGAAGGTGTTTCGTTTTCTTTTGCTGTTGCTGCTGCCAAACGATCAGCTTCTTCGTTACCTTCGATGCCAACATGTGAGGGAACCCAGAGAAATTTTATTTTATTGTACTGATTCTTTTGCATTTCTTCCTTTATGGTTTGAAGGATTGGATGTTGGGGGTACACTTGTTTGATTCCCAGTAAGGTGCTTAATGAATCGCTTATAATCAAGAATTTACCTTCTGAGTGGGAGCATATCTTTATGGCTTCTAGGATTGCGATCATTTCTCCGGTAAATATACTGCAGTATTGGGGGATTTTGGTGGATATTTTAATTCCATCTCCAACAACAGCAGTGGCTTGTCCAGTTTTAGTTTTGGCAGCATCTGTAAAGATTAGTTTGGTATTTGGGAATTTTGTAATTAGGGAGCGATAGGTGTTGTGAATAATTGTTGGATGTGTTGAGTGCTTAGGATATTTTGTAAGGGCTGTATTTATTAATGGTATTGGGATAGTCCATGGGGGGTAATTTAAAGCTGGTTTTAAGGAAAGTTTAAATTGATTTATATTAAAGTTTGTACGGCGTAGTCTTTCATAGAAGGGAACTTTACTCGAGGATATATTGTTAAATAGGTCGTAATAGGTATTTGGGAAGGCAGCCTGGTATGCGATGTTTGTTGGGTTTATGGATAATCTAGACGCATATTTTAGTGTGTTCATTTGTCGTCGAATTTCCGGTGGCAGTTCGTGAGCTAGAACATATAGGCTCTCAACTGGGCTTGTTCTAAAGGCTCCCAGTGCGATTCGCAAGGCGGTGTTCTGGATAATTTCTATTTTCTTTAAAGCTGTTTTACTTGCTGTTTGGTAACAAATTGATCCATAATCAATCTTACTTCTGATAGTATCTGATACGTATCAAATTTGTGGTGTCTGACCCCCAGGTATGATGTGAAAGAATTTTTAGTAAGTTCAGTCTCTTTTGGCAGGATAGTAAAAGGTTGTTTAATTGAGTTTTCCAGTTGAGTGCTGTGTCAAAATTTAATCCTAGAAAATGTATGTTGTCTGTCTGTTGTATAGTTTGATTGTTAATATTTAAAGTTATGTTGTATTCTTTTTTCTAAATACTATAAAACGAGATTTTTCTGCGCTGAATCTAAATCCTGTTTCTCTGGTCCAGTTTTTTAGTTTTAGTTTAGAGTAAAAGCTAATGGAAATCTTTCATCACCTAGACATATTCAAAATGGTACACCCCAAGGATCAGTCATGAGCACAACTCTATTCTTGGTAGCTATAAATAGCATTACAGAAATAATTAAATTACCGCTTAAAGCTAATTTATATGCAGACGATATAGTAGTGTATATAAAAAGTAAAAACATAAGCCTAGCCCAACAACTTCTACAAAACTTTCTTAATTGGACGCATTTGTCTTTGTAGTTTGTGTGGTTTTATCAAAGCCCATCAGTATTGATTTTATATTTAGAAATGTTAGTATTTTTATAATATTTAATTTTCATTATGTACCTATTATTAATTACATAGGTATACTCACCTATTTTTTTATAGATTTAATAATCTTTTTACCATGGTATTATAACACTTATTAATAAAAATAAGAAATAAAACTTAAATGGATACATTAATTATACTTTATTACAAAATAAAATTTAATCTGAAAGACATATCCAATTTTGAAGAATATACAAATCGTTTTGATAAATACAGTCATAATCGTCCTTCCATTAATGTTTACGAAACTGTTTTTGTAAAGTTTTGTGTAAAGCCACTATTTATTAGCAACATTTCTATACTAGGATCAAGAAGACAATCTTTTAAATCATCAAAATAAAGAGACCTACTCATTAGAAAAAAATTACATAATTTTAATTGGCTTTTCAACTCAATTGTTTTTGATATATTGACTCTACTTGTTACCACATAAGCAGTGAACTCCCTGTGTTTTGACTCGTATCTCATCGACCAGACATGAATTGGTGGTTTATTTGGTAACTGTAGCCGTCCTCACGTCAGGCCGCAATCACCCGCAATATTACAATATGTTAATCGTTTCTTAATCTACTTAGTGTTAGAGAACTGTGACCCCGCAGACTTGCTGAGCCATCATAATTATTTGCAAGATTTTTTTTTCTCAATTTTCGTTTAAATATCATCAAACCTTAGGCTTCCTAATGCGCTTTGCATTATAAAACGAAATCTCCTCAAACTCATGGGCCTTTTTAATGAATTTATTGGTACATACCTGTAGCATTGTTTTAATCAATACGTTTCAAGATTCGTATATCCCATTAGCTTGTTTTGCTTTCCCAATTACCCTAGGTGTACAATAGGGTGGTGCGAATTATGAATATTTTTTCAATTAAAAATGCCTGCATATAGAAAACTTGTGTATGATAAAATTAAATTTTTTTGTCAAAATAAATAAATAAATATATATATATTTTTAGACCAAGTGGTATATTTTGAACATAAGTAACTTTTCCAAAGTTGAGCACTTTTCAATAGAAAAAAAGGAAAAAAGGGCGGACCCCCGGTCAATGTCCATAATGAAAATATTTGTATTTTTAAAATCGACCGGGGGCCCCCATTTCGTTTAAAAATCAATGTGCCCAAATTTGAAAAATTTGTCTTTTAAAAAATCTTAGTTCGGGGGTAGTGAAAAAAAATTGTCTTATCGATATAGAAAACTATAAAAAAAAGCTGAAGCTCGTCAATTAAAATTTAGCTGCCCCCCTTCACCCCTAAAGGGGTATATTTTTTTTTAAACAAAAGCATGCTCGGGGTAGTTACTAAATTAGGCTAAGTACTCTAAATAGAAAACAGCTTTCTATTAAAGTACGGCTCTTCGCTTAATTTGGAACCCGAAAATGAAAAATAACTTATAAATAAAAAAAAAGTAACTTAGGGTTCTAAATTAACCCAGAACTCACCACGGGGAGGTGGCCGCATGTCGAGTTCCACCCACCCACCCTTTTCCATTTATATAAGTACTTACTACTTATCTCTTACTTTGTAATATTCGGCCTTATTTTCGAAACTTGGCAGATTTTTCCTGGCCTCAATCTTGGCTCTTATATAACCTTCACGTGACTCTTGACCGCAAACAGTTGTCGATGCGTCTGTAATAATTTTAACCATCCTTTCGACAGCCTGCGTGTGGCATGGGAATTTATCGAGTTGAAACTTTTCTCCAGTTTGAAGAAGTTTATTAAGGTCATCTTCAGTCATGGACATCGTTAAAGGTGGCTCTGAAATATTTGTTTGAGACCAGTCAATTAAATCTATATAGTCGTCGGCACTAAAATTTAACTTTGGGATTTTAAAAATTCTTATACTTTCAGATTGTATTAAATTCTTCCTGATCTTAAGTATTTTTTTAACAGCTAACTGTCTTATGTGTTGTCTTTCATCTGTCATCATCGCAATTAAAATATTTTCAGGGTGACCAAAGTACGCATTACCTTCGAAAACTTTATAGACAATTACTTTGACGTGGTCTGGAAATGGTCTGCTCAGACGTATTGCATCCCACAAATGTCGAGCTCCATCTTGAATGAATGGTTTTGATTTGATTTTAAACCACATGGGCGCATAGACTTTCATTATAAATTCCACCAGAATTTGAAAATTTTCTGATGGATTTATGGTAGAAATATAAAGCCGGAGAATTCTATTAGCCGTTGTCAACCATCTGGAGTGCGATATTTTCCCTGGGTTTCTTTTAGCTACACTTTCACAACATGTTCCACTTTTTATAGCTTTACAAATGTCAAATAAATATTTTTGATCCATGCTAAGATCATTTTTCTCAATTTCAGGCAATTCCGTATAAATTATTTGAAAGTTTTCAACAGATTTTAGTTCACAGTCATTAAGTAACTTGCCAATAGGTCCAGAAAAGCTATATGGACCTTTTGTGTGGCCATCCAAATTCTGTAACAAATGGCGAAGAGGCAATTCGTTTGAGTGCAATAGGCATATGCTCCACTGTAAAGGTTTATTTAAAGCGACTTCAATATACCTTATAGCTCCTCCTTTCCATCCCGTATTGACATTTGTGCCATTACATCCAATTACCTGAAGCTCTTGTGTATCAATATTTAAATCACTCAAAAATCTAATAATACCATTAGATAAGTCGACTGCTTTTACTGAAGGAAATAAAGACAAATGGCCAAAATATTGACTGTTAGGTTCTTCAACAAGCGCAATGTGTTCTTCAGGCTTAACTATGCGTTTTCCGGCCACATATTCCAATGTTTGATCTTTACGACCGTCAAAATATAATCCTTTTATTCTCTTATTGTCACAAAAACTTTTTTCTGTTAACTGTTTTCTGTTTCTTTTTATTTCTCTCCGAACTTTATTTTTGTCAATGACTTTGGAAGTGTTGCTAGCCGAAACGATATTCATATCTTCCAATACAGCGGTTGTGATTTTTGCTACAACTCGACTCGAAACACCCGTTAAATCTGCAACTTTTGCTGTATGAGTTAATGGAACTCTCATTTGAGATGACAGTTTATCAATTTTGGGTCGCTTTGGTTTTAAAGATTTGGGACATTCAAAATCTGCATCGCTGTCATCTGAAGTGCTAATTTGTATTCCACTAGTACTTGGCTGAGGACTTTCTATTTTCCTTTGGTGACAGCAAACCGACATGTCGGTGTCGACTCCTTTTACAGGTGGTTTAAGGTTTTTGGCTTGTCTTTCTAACTTTTTTTGAAGTTTTTTTGTTATTACACGATCAACTGGCCCGATTAACATTTTCCGGTCATTTCTTTGATCGATAATGAATGGCCACTCAATTTCAGACACCTTTTTTTCTTTTGGACATTTACAGCTCTGAAAAGTGGAACATTTGCAGCTACAAATATCAAAAAGTTTTTGGGCACTGTTTTTGAATGTTTCCAGTTTTTTACTTAAAAACGGTGTGTCTCTCGATTTGAAAGGTTTAATTATGTTTTTATACTTGGCGTGGTATGATAAAATCATATCTACTATTCTTTTATGTGTTAAAATTGGGAGTGATGCACGTTGCCATATAATTTTAATTTTTTCTGCTACAATATTAGCAATAGTATTTAATGGAGGTTCTTTGCTCCCTTCACCTTTTAACTGAATGCGAACGCTTTCATAACACAACATCACTTGTTGGTAAGTTGGAAGCACATTTATTATTTCAGGATCAAGATCTGTCACTGTTCCAAATAAATGTACACTTAAACCGGCTCTGGTTTTTTTAACTTTTGGTTTAGACATTTTTAAATGAAAAACACTCAACTCACTAAAAACAAAACACGCGGTCTTAGCGACAGCGTGCCGCGGCAACCACTCCCACTTCTCACATTCCATACCAGTGGCGTACGCGCGTGCAATCATGCAAGGCAATTTCTGGGGTTTATTTCGTAGCCAAACATGCTTTTTTAAATTATTATTTTAATTTAAAATTTTTAGGGGCAGAATTAAATGAATAGCCACACCCAAATAAAAAGCTAGCATGTCTCTGAGCGTCGCAAGAATCTTGGAGCTCAAAGGGGCGTGGTTAAAGTTGAAAGTAGGATGTTCAGTTTTTTTTCCTGTGTTCTATAGAGCATGTGCTATAATCTGGTAATTACCCCGAAAGAGATTTTTAATATTTAAAAAATTACCTCGTTAGGGGGGCAGGGGGGCGGCTAAATTTTATTTGGCGGGGTCCAACTTTTTTATGTAGTTTTCTATATCGGGTAGACAACTTTTTTATACTACCCCATCATAAATATCTGGCCCACCCTATTATACAACGCCAACCTCACTCAAGCGTATTTCTGTAAACACTAGTTCGGACGACAACATGCGTAGTCAGATGCAAACATTCATTGCATGGACTATATTTAAAAATTATAGTCAAAACTTTTTATACACCAACCTTTTTCTCAAGTACCATGGATTTAATATCTTCCTTGAAGTAATGAGTCAGAATTTTTAAAGCAAATTTATTGGCATCCTCAATGTCTAACTAATTTTAGGCTTTCTCCAAACTTTAATATTTTTTTTGTTTTTAAAGTAACATTTAGGTCTTGGATGTTTATTCCGCATAGTTTCTTAAAATGCCAATATATGGCATACTTATTTGATAACAAGGTTGGCCACTCTTTCAAAACTTCCTGCACGGTAGGAGATTTTTCAATTTTGTTTAATAAAATTCTCTGTTTTGGTTGGCGCGTTCAGTCGCAGACGATCACGATCGAGCCGCAGCCGTTGCGACCCGACTGCTGCATAGACCAGTCAAATCGCAGTCGTCTGCTATTGTTTGAAAAAAAAATGGTAGATTTTAGTGCAAACGAGGATGTTCTAATATTGCCTATAGGAGCCACTGTTCAGCTTCTTCTTCTTCTAAAAGAATTAGGGTTAAAAGATCGCTGTCCATGTTATTTGTAAAACCAGATCTTTAAAACTAAGCCAAATCGCATTAAACTAGACGCCTCAAGGAAAACACTCAATATTGCGGCTGCATACGAGTATTCAAGCTTGGCAGTTTTAAGCAGACCAAAAGACCTATTTCACTCGACCCCACTTATTTAAGATTTTTCGGGGTTTTTTTCCTGGGGGGTTACAAAGCGTCGACCCATAAATATACGCCACATATCAAAATGTATATAGAACATTATAATCTGGGTCAACGAAAGAATGAGATATTTTTGTCTAAAATTTAATCCCCCTCAAAAATAATACTAATTTTGGACAAAAAGTTTTAACAAAAGAATGGACCTTACACACAAAATCTTTACATGTATCGCATCTTATAGTTATTATTTTTGGATCTACCACACGGAAAAAAATGTTTTCTAAATGTAAGAATACCTTTATTCTTAAAATTTATTTGATTTAAGTATAATTTGCTTAGGCTACGAATATATAAAAAAATTTTTAAAATATTAACCTATCCTTAAATTAAAAAGATTTTATTTTTTTGCTTAAAATCAAGTACAGTTGAAACAAGATGATTGACCTAATCTTGTCAAGGCTAAAACTAATATTAAACTAAATATTAATCTTTCTTTAAACAAGCAGATCTTATTATTGCCTGTTAAATGTTAAGAAATACTTTAAATGAAATAATCTTATTCTTAATTTAAGATTAACAAGAAGTTTACCATTGCATCTAACATTGAAATTATATTCAAATAAGTATTGATTTAAATTACAAATAAGAATAAATCAATCCTTAAATAAAAAGTATCTATACTTGCGGAACATTCCAAATGGTGAGATGATTAATCTTTAATATAGAATAGCTTTTATTCCGTGCACATGTTACACAACGTCCTTTTCTCTTTAGATCAGGTCCTGCCTTATTGGCTACTTCTTTATTTGATTTATATTTTGCTAGAGAAGCCAGGTGAAGTGAAGTAGTGTTTGCCCTTTCCACAAGAAAAGGCTTCACGGGACTCATTGCCAGGTTTTTCAGAAAAATTTTTCGTTTTATCTTTTTATTGTTAGCATTAGAATAATACAAAATAAATGAATTTATACTAGCCATGTCCATTATTGATAAAAATATAAGTAAAGGCCACCTTTTTGTAATTCTTTTGACTGAGTAGGAGCCGCAAATTTGATCAACTGTATCAACAGCGCCTTTTGTAGCGTAGCGCAAAATTAGTATCTTCATTAATTTCTCCTGTATCATGCATCGTGATAATAATATAAACGATTTCACTTCTCTATGAGGTAAAAACTATGCTGGTAGTTCCCTCTTATTTTTTTTCCTATCTCTTGGAACCTTTAATATGATAAACAAGTCTTTTGACAATTTCTGTTGGTGTATTATAGGGTTCCTCCGGATGCTGGACACAATAGATTTCTATATTACTTATGGGACGAATTCGCCCAAACAATATATTTCTTTACAAACATTTCAAAAATTACAGTCAATTTGTCAGTTTTTTTTCGATCCTCCCTGGTGTCACGATCAAATCGAATGCAACGTAGCAAAAATAAAAATATTTTGTATGACATCACTTGTCTTGTTATTGCAAATCCGATCTCAATGTCCCACATCTCATTGCAATGATTGTTCTTTTTAGCACCTACATATAAAATACAATAATCCAAAAAGGCCACAATCTCATTATTCGTAGTATTTCTTGCATTGCGATTTCTTTGGCATCCAACTGATTTTTTTTTTAATTAATGCAAAGATTAGTATATTTTACAATATCCTCAATCATAAATAAATGAATTATAATTATAATTATCAATTCCAATGCAGAAATTTAGGATGTAACTCCTCTGGCGACTTGTTTTGGTCCAGGGAGAATTTTCAACAAATTCTTGTTTTTAACTTTGGAAACTGTTGACACATTAGTCTTGGCCCATTTTGCTGTTTTGTTCTTGGCCAAAAAATCGTCCGTCTTTAATTCTCAATATCTGCGTAATCTTGTTCAGAATTCGATTCATGATCACTCTGAGCCACAATTTCCTCCTCTTCAGATAAATCTTAATGATCATCTTTAATTGGTAATTTTTTCAACTCCTTATCCGCTAAGTATTTTTTACACTACAATAAAGAAAAATACATTTGCAATTTAATGTATAACTACTGTAACAACAAAATAACATATAATATAAAAATAAAGTAACGATAACAAAACAATTATATACTATGGGGCCCCAAAAAGAAGAAAAGAATGAAATAATACTATTTGTTTCTGTGGATCAAAATGAACAAGAACAATGTCTGACGCTATTATTTCTCTTACTTGATCAAAAGAACTTTGGCACTCGTCATTCAAATTAAATTTAGTTTTTCCCCAGCAAAATGTAATATGGCTTAATATTTATATCTAGATTTAATAAGTAATTGTCTGATAACTGCGAATTTTAAATCGTAGGTATATTGCCTGAACTCGAAGCAGAAGAGGTTGCTGGGCCTGGTGGAATATCAAAAGCATTTCGTTGCGGACTTGATGCATTTATCTCCTCTAATTCGAATACCAGGTGTATTTTTCTTAATTTCGCTTCATTGATTAACTCGGGTCTTGATGCTTTTACTGAGGCTGCAATGCTCTGGAAAAACAAGTCCAGAGAATCTGGTTTGTATAGTCCAATTTTTTAAAGATTTTATTTGAGCACTTCTTTCTCTTATTGTAGCTATTATGTCTTCATTTATCTTCTCTTTTCTGTTGCGGCTTGATTTGAAAAATTATTTTTTTATTGCACCCGCTCCCTTGTTAATGTCTGCTGTCAGGAGAGAGGCAGAACTACTTGGACGAGATGATTCTCGAGACACTTTCCCTGACTCAATATTATTTTCAGTGTCTTCCTCGCTCATCATGTCCTTCTCTTCGTGTTCATTTCCGAGAGATGTACTTCTACCAAGAAAAAAAACGGAAATCGTATATTATATTTACAGTACTTTTTGAAAAAGAACTTACGGGCGTTTGTGCTATGTTTGGTCCAGAAAGGACAAATATCTGCTAAGCCCATTTCGCCTGTTTGGGCAATGCAGCAGCAGCTTTTCTCCTTTTTTTCTTATATTGTAGGTATCCTTAATATTTCTCCAACGTTTTTTGCAGTCGTCAACTAAAATTTTGTTATCGATTTTTTTTTCATAATAATTATCATTAATTATTTTTTTTTAGGTTTTTGGCAACCGGTGAGACATTACGTTCCTTAGCTTTCACGTTTCGAGTCTCCCATAGTTATATTAGCAGAAAAAATACATTATTATCATTAAGAAGGCACCTTATTTCATTATGCATACCGCCGTTATATAATTGGATGAAAAAAAGCAAAAAGCTAAGGAATTTGGTCAAAAATGGAATTTTTCTAATTGTCGACGGTAAGCACATACGAATTCGATGTCCTTCACACAGTGGATCTTTATTTCATAATTATAAGGACTTTTTTCCATCGTCTTGCTTGCTGTTGTCGACGCCAATTATAAATTAATTTTTATTGATGTTGGTTCATATGGAAAAGGAGAGGGAATCCACCTCCAAACAAGCTACAAAATACTGATCAGGTTCTTCCATACGTCTTGGTAGGCGATGAAGCCTTCAGATTAAGTATACAAATGATGAAACCGTTCCCCCAACCAGTAGCCAGCCCTGACGATGGCAAAGCAATTTTTAATTACTGGATTTCTAGGGCCCGACGTGTCTCGGAAAATGCCTTTGGATTGCCAAGCCAAATTTTTTTTAGTTTTTTATACAATGATGGATTGGAATCCATCAACAGTTGACGATTTAATTATAGTGGCATGTTGTTTACATAATCTT